GGGCGAGAGGGGGAGAACAGGGGATTCTGTGGCTGTTATGTTGAACTGAATGGTGTTATAAAATAATAATAATAATAATAATAATAATAATAATAATAATAATAAAAAAAAAACCAAAAAAAAAAAAATCTTCAGAATGAGTGACTTTCTAAAATTTTACATAAATAAAATTTGATAGAAACAAGCAATGTATATTAATATATGAACTAGTTGAAATAGCAGAATTCCACATCTCATTATACTAGGAAATTATTATAATTACTAAATATTTATATTCCAATTTATAATGTTATTTACATAAAATTTTGATTGCTTAGCAAAACATAAACAGAGACAACAAAACTAACTTTTGTCACTCAATAAATCTGTATATGTTGATCAAATGAAGAAAGTTACCTATATAATATTCCTTTATTCTTGGCAGTTATTCAATAAAAATAGCATTTATAATTTTGACTTTCAGTGCATTGATTTTTTTCTAAATTTACTGTACTAAGGTACAAAGTACCCAACAAAACTCAGGATTATGAGAATCTCATCAGAAACATTTTCCTCTTTAAGTATGGCCCCTACCTTGGTTTTATGTTACTACTCCATAGCAACCCACAAACAAACTCATCTTTTCTTGGTGATCAAATTATTTATTTATCTCTGCTTATTAGATGGTATGATGCACAAAAATATGTTAGAACCAGGATGTGAGAGATCATGTGTTGATGATTCCCACATGATCATGATCATAATGATGAAGAAGATGATGATGATTCTACTCAAAGACCTTGATTTATTTAGTGAAAGTGTTGAAGTATGTCAACCTAACTCATTGGCCATCTGTAAAATTCAGTATTCTATGCTTGATCTATGTTGGCTTATTATATAAACTATAAATGATGATTGCAAAGGGAAGTATGATACTAAACATAAGACAAAAGGACACTATATTTTAGTTAACAAATACTTATTATTGTGCTTATAATCTCCGTTCAATGGTTTCTTTATGCTCTTTAAGATGTCATCTGGACAATAAGCTCTTCATCTGTAATCCATTTGTTGTCCCTGGTCATAGTAGAAGAAATCCCTTTAAAAATTCACCCAGATCTTTTATTATGTGTTGATGATGAATAAGCTCTCTTACTCTGCACAGAAGGTACATGTTGTTTTACCTGATGTTATCTAGCTTTAGAAAACATCGGCTAGCTAAGACATTCATCTCTTCTACTGTCTAGTGCCTCAACACCATTATTATCTTCTCCATTTTTGGCATGGCCATCTTCCATTGTCTAATAAGTACTGGAAGCTTCCAAGGAAGGTTATGGTCATTTATTAACATGGACTTTATGCCACTTAGTATTGTCCATATTTATATTTAATTCAGAGCTATCTATAATAAATATGGTGATATGAAATTATGACCAAAGTACAGCCATCTTTTCATGTGTCAGCAACATAATGTTTTGCTTCATTGCTTCTTAGTCAGTATTATACTGAAAGAATAAACTAGACACAATTCCACAATAAAACATATTCATATTTTCTCCATTGGGGGGGGTCCATTAAGTAGATGTGAAGTTTAGTTGGCTGAACATTACAAACTGACACTAGATAATAAATCCCAGATCTGACTTGGAGTTATTGTCATCCTCACCCCCCTGCCTTTCACCGTGCGTTGTTCAGAAGATCTACCCATTTAAAGTGCCAATGGAAAATGCAGCCTCTCATCATGGCAGTGCCCTTATTTTTCAAGAGGATGATGATTAATCAATTATGAATTTATGAGAAAGAAACACCTGGCACACTTCCATAAACAAATAGGTTTCCTGTGGTTTTAAGAACAGCTGAGGATATTTCAAAGGGTCAGGGAGATCTGTGAGTAAAACGGTCTTCACAGTTTGACTTCCCCCACATGCCTGTCTCTCATAAATATGCACCACCAATACCCATTTATGTATGTACTTACTTGTTTATTATTTATTTATTTATTCATTCATTTATTTATTTATTTAGCAGGCAATTTGTCAAAGGCTGTAATGAGACAAAGAATATAAAGGAAAATAAGATTTTTTTTAGTAACACCACAAGCATATTGAAAAAGATATAAAATACATATCTCAATCATAATTGTTAGCCCCCACAATGAAAACAACATTCGACTGGAAGTTTTGTGAAGAAGAAATATTGCAAAGGAGGTAGGTCATTTCATGCCTTCAATAGCAACAGTTGGTGCAGGGTGTAAGCCCCTTATAATGATGATCCCAAGTATTTTGTTGTTGTTGTTGTTGTTATTCTTTTGAGACAGGGTTTCTCTGTGTAGTTTTGGTGCCTGTCCTGGATCTTGCTCTGTAGATTAGACTGGCCTTCAACTCACAGAGATCTGCCTGGCACTACCTCCCCAGTGCTGGGATTAAAGGCGTGCTCCACCTCTGCCCAGCTCTCTCAAGTGTCTTTAGCAGCGATTCCTGACCCCCTTTCTTGCACTTAACTCACTTCTGAGGAAAATTCTGTTGGTATGCTTCCACATTTGAAGGTGCTTCAATTGTAGACAAATACTATGATGCTTTTGCTACCACCTGATAGAGCCTATATGTTCCTGCCTCATTTTCTTTAATTATAGATTTCTTTCATGTGGTAGGATTCACAGCATATGCTACCCAATACTACAAGACTGTGTTATTTTATAAAGTACCTACATGTCCACAGTGAAACACTAGACAGTGTGAAAGTTAACTAAATAGTAACAGTTCAGATACGGAAACAGAGTGAAAATACTTTATTTTTTTATAGACTGTGTTTTGATAAACTGATTATATGCTTAGGTGATAATAGTTAAAATATTATGGTTAAATATCTTGTTAAAATTAATGTTACTTGCTATTTTGTTCTTTTCAATGTGGCCACTAAAACCTTTAAATCACATCTGTAATGAACGTCATATTTCGTTTGGATAGCATTGCTTCTATAATTCCAGATTCATTCAAGGTTTGCTTCCTTTACTGATGTTTACACTCTGAAGAAGCCTTTGTTCCCAAACAGACTGAATTCCAACATAGTTCTTCAATAATGAAACTAAGCAAACTGCAAAATTACGCTTACTAGCCATAAAATGTAAGTTCAAGTTAAGGTCTACCTTCATTTTTAAGTGTTTAAGTAGCAGCATTATTCAAATTTAAAGGAGCTGTCTTCCTCTCAGGCCTGGCATGGATCAAAGCCATTGTCTAAAATCATTATGTGCTTTCTGTAAACCTTTCAATTTCCTTAAACAAAAGTTACAAAATGACAGGAAGATGCCTAAGAGAAATGGGGGGAAATATACAAAATAAGTAAACGCTGTATCTTTTTAAATTTAAAGGACATATTAATTTTATAGATAGGCACTTTCTTACTTCTTGAAAATGATTAATGTAACAATGCTGACTATTAATGCTTACTTTGGAAAACATAATCCTCACTCTAAAAGGGTAGTAAGCAAATATTCATCATATCCACGCATATCACATATGGCCCTCAACATGCTCTGCTCATCAGACAGTTAAAGCTGTCCCCAAGCACATGGTGTTTAGAAAATGAGCATTTTTTTTCTGAGTTAGACACCATCAAGGCATCCAACAGAAGTACTTTGGGTTCTGTGAGCTTGATTCCTAAGCTTTATAGGTGGACCTATACGGTGATACTCACATTATCATTTGAAATTTTCTTGCTTTTAATTTGTAATAGTGTTTACAATCCACAATAAAATGCTCATGACTTGGACAGAAAGACAACATTTTCTCAAGATTATGTCCATTTGTCAATAAGCAGTAATGTATAGTAAGGCATACAAGGGGTTAAACTCTCCCACTCTCCCAACTGGATTTAGATTCCAGTTCTCTGAGGACAAACAGGTGTCTTTTCCAACAAAGGACCATTTATCTACAAGGCCTTTACATTCAGGGTCAAGAGAGAGAACAAGCACAGAGGATATAAGTCAGCCTCACAGTATCTCAAGGACAAACCCAGCAGCCACCTTCTAAGTCATGTCCAAGCTTGTGCAGATGTGTCCAAAAATGATAAGACTAAACCTCAGCCAATTAGAAATACAATAATGTAACTGCTGCTTGCTTAACCAATTCTGTAGATGACCCAGTGCTTGTTAATGAAATTGAATTTTCTATACACTGATCTCTAAGATCCCTTCTAACTGTACTCTGTTCCCTCCAGCTCTGTTGAGTTATCAGAGTAGTACACTGATCATAGTGGCCAATGCCTAGTGATTACTAGGTACGATGAGATGATATAATTATCATGCCATAGTCATCTGCTGAAGTGGGCACTACTAGCTAATACCAGGGGATCCAATCATTTCCCATTTTCACTAATAAGAATCTGTGTCCTTAACAGTCAATGACTTATATTTAAATCAACCAATGACCCAAAGAAATTGAAATTAAAGCAATAACGAGATGAGCTTGAAATGTTTCTGTATGCACATTGTTTTGCTCTAAAGTTCCTAGCATTGTCAGCCTACGTGAACATTCTGGGACACAAAAAATTCTGTGTGTCTCTACTCTGCTAGAGATAAGACACCATATAACCAACATAATGGTAAAGGTAAAAAGATTTTAGAGAAAAGACAAATTTTTAAAATCACATATCTACTTCACAAAAACGCACTGCTTCTGTGTAATGAGGAATGAAATGTGATGGATGAAATGCCATGGCCAAAGCTTTCAATCAATAAGACCACACAGCATTATTCACACCCTCATTATATCTGCCTCGAAGGTCTATATTGTAAGGTACGCTCTATTCTTTTCTTATATTTTTTTCTTGCTTATTTTCTTGAGAAATGGAACTGTGATTTCAAGAAGGCCTATGTGCTTGAATTCTCCCAAGGCTGATCCATCAGATATATTAGATAGGTTTTATTCTTTCTTTCCATATATTAGCTTTTTTTTAAAAAAAAAATTTGGGCTTAATGACACAATTTCCATATGTAGATGTCTTACCTTTCTGCTCGGTCTTCGGTGCTCCTTCATTAACATATGCCATTCCTGAATCATTATTTGGATCTCATTATCTGTGAAGGGCTTCAATATGAGGATTTTTTTTTTTCAAGACTAATGGTGTTTTAAAATCTTCTGGCACACTGAATTTTCTTCTGCGAAAGAAACTTCTGTCTCTGAGTCTTATATTCTCACATAAATATCATATATCATTTTGATATTTGTAGATGACAGGGGTTACATTTTGACAATGATTGAATAGATATACCAAATGAGCATTCTAAGGAAACAAACATTGCAACTGGGAGAAGAATACAAAGAAACTGGATTTATTCAGTCTTTGAGAAATTCAGAGTTGGAGAACAAAATAACATGATTTGTGTGCTTCCCAGTCAAACGCCAAGGTTGTGAATTTTGCACTGAAAGATATTGTTAATGAAAAGTATGAAGAAATATTGCTTTCATTTCCTTGGCTTGGTACAAATATACACCTTTTTAATAGTAATCAAATGATTTAGTTATTATTTCAGTAGGTCTTGGAGTTGTTGAATAATTGAGCAATGTGTACATATATTTATATTCTAAAACACAAGGCAATTCACATCATTATCTCTTCATTGGAATGAGACAACTTTATTCAGTAGGTATTGTAGCTGAAGTTTTCCTGGTCTTGCTTGCCTCCTGTGGCCCTATGACTGCTTGGACACAAGTAAACACACAGAGGCTTATATTAATTAAAACTGTTTGGCCATTAGCTCAGGCTAACAATTGACTACTTACACTTAAACTAACCCATAATTCTTATTTATGTTTAGCCACATAGCTTAGTACCTTTTCTCAGTTCTGCCTTCACATCTTGCTTCCTCTATGTCTGGCTTGTGACTCCTGACTCTTCCCAGAATTCTCTTCTCAGCTTGCCCCACCTATACTTTCTGGCTGGCTACTGGCCATTCAACACTTCATTTATTAACCAATTAGAGCAACACATTCGCAGGATACAGAGCAATATCCACAGCAAGTTATAGCATACAACTTATGTTGTCACTCTAGAGTCTTGGTTTCTAATTTAGATATTAGACTAGTGCTAATAATGTAACTCGTATCAACTGAACCTGTTACTAATAGAACAACTAATGTATTATATTGTCTGCTTTTTAATTACTAAAATGGTTTAGAATCCCAGAACATCAGAATTGGTCAAAAGATTATATTTTAGTTCTTTAAAAAGTTACTCTTTCTTAAAAATATGTTATACATTGACTTAATTCATAATGAATCTCAATTTAAATCTATTTTTCAAAAAAATAAGTTTTTAAAATATTGATTAAATTTTAAAATATTGAATAAATAATTATTTAAAAATAGTTATTTTAAATTTGTGTAGCCCCTCGAAAATCTATCAAATGTCCTATTGTGATCCATAATAATGATAAGGGATAGGAAAGGAGTTCAGTTTAATAGCAGACAAGTAGAAGGGCTTATCTAGTTATGAAGAAAGAAAAATTATTTTGATATGATATCAACTTACAAGTTCAAAAGACAATGTATTTTATGGCAATTTGTATTTCTGACTTATTTTGCATTTATAATATAAATAGGAAAATATTATATTATAATACCCTACTTTTCCCTTAAGAATTAGTAGTTATAAACATAAATACTTCTACTTGTGGCTGAAGATGTGATGAATAGTGTCAGTGAGATGGCTCACATGGTAAAGCACATACAACACAAGTCTGTGCGGAATCCTGGGAAGCTGCAATGGAAGGGGAGAACAGGATTCGCACGTTTGCTCTAACCTCCGCATGCATGCGGACTGTGGCGTGTGCATGCCCGCCTTCATACCTACACATTACACACACTCACGCAATAGGGTTAAACAAAATTTATAACTTTGAATACTATTTCACTACTAAAAACTGTTTAGTCTGAAGACCCATTTTATATGAGAAGATATGATATTATTTAATCCAAAGGATCTTTGGAATACAGTGGGCTTACTTTGGTATAGTTTTGCTGCTGAGACCAAATTATGGCATAAAACAGCAGAAGAACCCAAAGTTCACCCAAACATTATTTCTTTAAAATGAGGAAAGTCTCTAAATCTTATTATGGCTATTAGATTAGGAAACAAATTTTATCATGTCTACATGTGGTTATGTATATAATTTCTTTGAATACCAAGTACTTAAACAAACACATATGACAATAGAAATAGCTTTATTGCTTTGGACAGGCTTATTACCATTCTGCATCTGGAATTTATATGCAATTACTTGCTCATAAAGATGACAATAAAGAAACATTATTTATTTTAAACTTTAAAAGGTTTCCTGGTTATTTCCTCCATACATTTAAAAATTTGCCCACAAAATATCAAAATATTTTTTTTTTATTTTTTTTTTTTTTTTTTTTTTTTTTGGTTTTTCGAGACAGGGTTTCTCTGTGTAGCTTTGCGCCTTTCCTGGGACTCACTTGGTAGCCCAGGCTGGCCTCGAACTCACAAAGATCCGCCTGCCTCTGCCTCCCGAGTGCTGGGATTAAAGGCGTGCGCCACCACCGCCCGGCTCAAAATATCAAAATATTAATGGGCAGAAAATTTATAAGTAAAATTTAAATTTTTTATATATTTACTTTTCTTCCAAGTTTATTGTCTATAGTAATGGATAACATGGCTTTACCATAAGTGTATATAAAATGCTGAATATAAAACTTATTAATATCACAGGTTTCATTCTTTAGAATCAATGTAACTTAGTTGCAACTTAGCATTAACATCTTTTCAGATAGAAGTATTGATGGAAATTATTGATGTTTTGATAAAGTCCATTTTGTGGAGTACATTGAGTCTATTTAATTATCTAGTCATATTACATCTCTAGATTACTTTTGAAACTTAAGAATCTAACTTAAAAGAAATCTAAAATTTGGATAGGACAATTTTTACTGTAGTAATAAAAAGAAGAATAAATTATGTGTCTGTGTTATGGTTTATAGTTGCTATTACTTCTGGGGGCGGGGGAAGAGTGTTGCTCAGATTATCAGGTCAATTAAAAGGAAGATCAAAATAAGTCACATGCATGGAAGATGTGTAGCGCAAGGAAGCATCCTTGCTACCCACTAGAATCATCCTTCTAGTGAATGAAATGCTTCCTATCCTTTAGGGGAAGATGCAACTAAGCACTTGCAGTTTTTTTCTTATGATCAATATAAAGAACTGATTCCTTTGGCATCACGTTGGAAGAGTGATGCTTTTCACACAGTAAATGAAAAGTAAGTATATTGCTTTCTAAGCCAAAGAAGGAGTGTTAAAGTGTACACCCAATTTTTAATATATAGCATCGATAAAAGAGTAAAATACAGAGATGTAATTCTGGGGGAGGATCATGATATTAAATTTGACTACACTGTTTCTTCCAACATTTCCAATAACCTTAGGGAAACTTTCATCTCCAATAGCAAATTATAATATTAATATAAAATTATAATATTCAGGAAAGATTCCTGGCGGCCACTTACCAGCTGCCCTTTCCCTGTGGATTTACATATCCTGTTGATGTATTATAGGATAACCACTTTACAGCTAACTAGTTCAGAGTATCCTGTTAAACATGAATACCTTATTCATTTCTAGAGAGCCACACTAACATTCCTTTAGTTTTGCAATATAATCCTTAATTAGAAATGAAGTTTGATTGTTTTAACTACAAAACATAAAAGAGCCCTGCACTACATCAAGACCTTTAATGGAAACTAATGGAATTTTTGGCATAAAATGGTAGAATTAATTAGATCCAGCAATGCACACTGTTTAACTGCTAGCCTGCCATTTTACACTGATTTGAAGTCATACATACTTAACAAAAGACATCGAGTTGATTGCACAAAGGGGCTGAAGACTCTTTTCACATTCATTGTGTAAGTTATTATCCTCTGCGAAAAGATTATTGACTTTTTGTAAGAAGATATTATGGAGAGAAATGATTGCTACCAGGATGACTTAGAATTATGTATGAGATAAGTAATAACTCTAATTTCTCATCTGCTGAATAAATGGCTTTAATTTTAAAATACTAGGTACTGCATATGAGATTTCTGCTGAATTGAGCGGAATTTCCAGACCTGGCTTTGAAATGTTATGGACAGTAGAAGCGAAACAAAACAAAACCTCATATGTATACATTAACTAAATATCCTACATTGTTAATGCTATTTCTTAAATCTTATATTTTCTTAAAATTAATCTGAAAAATATACACATATGTTGCTATCTCTATGGGAAAGAATTTAATACATTTATGAGGAAGTGACAATAGTTTAATTAATATGGAGAAAAATACTAGGTACAGCTAAGTTACGATTCTAAAATTTTCTTGTACATTTTCTCACAAGAAGTTTTTCCCCCCTTGTGATTTTCTATAACCAAGTGATTCAAATTTGCCTTATTACAACACTTATTACAAAACATTGATTTGAGGGTTCCCCAGGTATACTTTAGGGCAAGCAAATTTGTTAATTCCCATTGTAAAGGCGAGCATCTCCCTACATATAATTGCATCCCTTGTATTAGATAAGGTTATGCCTTGTCTAATGTGAAAACAATGAGTTCTCAGAGAAAGATCATAAAAGGGGTTGTGACTTGTCAGTATGAAGCAATTAATGAGGGTTGTCTCTTCTATCTGCCATATTCCCTAGTGTAGAAAACATATAACCCATAGACCCTTAAATATATGTTCATGTATACATGCACATACATGTATATACATGTTTATAACATATACATCTTTACCTCTATGAATAGAAAGAAGGGACCCACATAAATATGGTAGTTATAGTTACTATTTGTTGATTGTCTGTGGTGATATTGTGTTCCTCAAAATATTGTGCGCCCTAATAAACTTATCTGGGGTCAGAGAACAGAACAGCCAATAGATACTGAGGCCAGAAAATGATGGTACTCACACCTTCAATCCTAGCATTCCAGAGGCAGAAATCCATCCAGATCTCTATGAGTTTAAAGCCACACTAGAAACAGCCAGGCATGGTGACTCACGCCTTTAATCCCAGGAAGTAATGGCAGAAAGCAGAAAGGTATATATGAGGGGTGAGGACCAGGAACTAGGTTGGTTAAGCTTTTATGTTTTTGAGCAGCACA